TGAAGAAATAATCATAATGCAGTCGTTATCCTCACATGTATCCTATGGACTGAAGAACTGTAAATCTGTAAAACTGTAAATAAATAAATAAATAAATAAAACTAAATGAATGAAGTAAATTGAAGTAAAAGAAAATCTAAATTAGACAAATTATTCTAACTTTACTTGAATATTTATTGTATTAATTCGACCTCGAGAATGTCACGGTTCTGGGTCCGTTGGACCCAGTATTTAGAGTTTATTATATTTCGGTTTAATTCTGCTTCATGGATTGTTTTCTTATTCTGTGATGATAATTATTATTATTATTAGTTTCTTGTTTCTGTTTATCCGTGCTTAAGGATTTGTTCTCGGTTATATCTCACGTTTAGTTTAGTTCAGGTTCCATGTGTCATTCTGTCTGTCTCTCAGTGTCAAGTCTGCGTGCTTGTTTAGTAATTCATGTTTCCTGTTTTATTGTGAAAGTCTATGTCTTATGTTAGTGTGTGCAGCTTTGCTCCCCCTGTCTCGTTAGTCCAATTTCTCCCAGCTGTGTCTCCCTCCTGTTGCCCATTCCCTGATTACCACCCTGTGTATATTAGCCCTGTGTTTTCCTGTGCTCAGCGTCGCGTCGTACCCTCAGAATTATGCCTGTGTGTTCAGTTCTCAGTGTCATTGTTCAGTTCACGTTTTCGTTTATCACCAGCAATAAAGCTAAGGTTCTCAGTCTCAGAGTCTCGCATTTGGATCCTCCTCTCCATCCGCCTGCACACAGAGCCCTGACAGAGAACAAATCTTATGATAACAGTAGCGTAAACTCTGCAGCGAGCCTCTGACACTCTGTCCTGACATGAGTCATGGATGATGGTGACGTGTTCATAATTAACAGCAGGGCTGTGGTGTGATCGTACAACTGGCTTTGTGCTGAGTCAGCTGGACACTGATTTCATTAATCTCATTAATCACTTCTGCCTGCTAACCTTTCTCCTCCTTCTCTCTCTGCTTAACCCCAACTACACTGTGCAACAGCATTTTCAAAGACTTCTTTTAATAGCTTAGTCAAGCTGTCAGAGGTGACGTCACTGTTCCCTTAAATTTTTCATTGTTTGTCATACCCATGGACCGCTCTGATCCCTCCCGTTGAAGAGTGATTAAAGACACGTCTGCACCTGTGCGTGAGCAGAGCCATCAGACTGGAGGGGACACCTCAGACAAGGAGGTGCAGGCAGAGTAATCTTTCCTGTCTTCTGCAGTTTATAATCTTTTATATCTAATGTTCACACTCAGGTGAACGCATCAGAAACAGCTCAGAGGTCAGGATCTTGCCCCTTCTAAAGTCTACTCTCTATACAGAAAAGCTTCCTGGTGCAAAACACTGTCTTCCCTTCTTAATTAATTCAGTTATCATAAATAAAACTGCTTGTTTTTAACTAATATTAATATAACAATAATAATTATCGTTAGTATTTCTGTAAAACCTCTTAGTTGTAAAATGTATTTATTTATTTTTTCCCTGTCCTGTTTTGATTCTTTTGCCATCAGAATTATTGTCTAAAGGCAAAGAAAGATGCCCAACGGATTTACTTTACCAAATGGACCATCCCAGCCTCGCTGTATTGGTCTGTTTGATTCACCTTTTATTGCTTATTTTATTTTATTTTCACTTGCTCCACACGGGACAGACATGACTGGGAAAGAAAACAGCGGGGAAGAGGGACGGGGATAAAGGGCAAAAACAAAAACCAAACAAAATAAGCAGACAAAAATCCAAATAATCACCTGGATCACCTGTTGAGAAAGAAAAAAGAAAACAAGCAGAAAAAAAAGAGTAATAGAATAAACAACATCACAATGATATATGGGAATATGACAGTAAATACTAAATATTAAACATTATTGTGCAGCACATAAGATCAACAGAACACAGTGTGCTTTGAGGTAGGAGCCAAAAAGGGTGTAGTTTGTGGGTGTGATCACCCGTGTGTACACCTGTGAGCATGGACGCGCTTGTTTTTAAAAGGTTCCTTCATGTAATGATCTGCTAGAGGGTGTGGGGGGGCCACAGCCCCGTCCTCCAGGGCATG